ATATGCTACTTTTTCAGCTGGTATCTGACACAAAATATAGGAAGCCCTTTCATTTCAGACCTTTGACTCATCATTACGCAGCAAATTAAATGCTCAAAGCTTCGTCGCCTTCACTTATTTCCATCTGAACGCAACGTTTACAGCTTAGACTACAGCTCGCAGACTACGGGTGCGCCGGGAATCTCAATCTCGAGATCACAAGATCGCCCTCTTTCATTCTCGACTTAATCATGCAGGCAAACAAACAAATTCAACAAACTTACAGACGTGCACAAATATTTGCGTACATAAAAACAAGTGCACATGTTCATAAACAAGCTGCACACATAGATACACAGATATGTACATGTAGGCGCAGAAATATATACACATAGCTAAATACATACGTGTGTAAAACAGGCAGTGCTCTTTTTTGCACGGCTTGCAAAATTCACATGACTGTTATCCCATACAGATCCGTCCACATCAGCAGTGGAACTAGAATTTTTCAAGAGAATGGAACAGAGCAGTGGCGAAGGAAACGGCCGAACAGCTTCTTCTATTCCTGCACTCTCTGAGAAAAGGCTCTTTGAAATGTGGAAGTTCTAAGGTCTTTTTTTCAGTACTAACTTTTTTCTGGTTGATATTGTCTCTGAATTTTAATGTTTTACAATATAGGCACATTGCGCCAGAAAACTGTGGCAAATGCGGCTTGAAATTTTGCATTGTCAAAAAGTAAATGTACTTGCGCAATAAACAGTCAAACAACTAACAAGCAGAATCAGAAGTGCTTAAATACTCTGAAAGTTAGAAAAAAAACGATGCAAAAGACTATATTTTGTGTCAAATCTAAAAATGCGAGGCACGTGGCCAAATGGAATTTTCTTTCGCGCATTCCGGTTGAATTACCAATACTTGACCGCCAAGATCAAATATTAAGCGATGAATTTTACGTGAGGCATTGGCGGCGATGCGAAGCCATGTGAGAGCTGCAACAACAGCAGTAATAATCCAGGAAGCACCAACGAAGCGCCACATATTCTTACGTACTTCAATGAATGTTGCTGTTACTGCTGCTGCTACCTTGCTCATCCCAAAATGAGGTCATCCGGTCAAAACTGTGCTACCAATTCAAGGTCGTTTTATTAAAAATTACTGAAAATACTCGGTTTTGCTGCACACAGGCAAGTGCACACATGTACACACATCTGGAATACATACATGGAAAACACAAGTTTGGTACTAAATGTAAAGTTTGCCTCCCTCTCCTGACTTCCCGGATCTGTTGTGTAAAGAAAATGTCCTTATCTCAAACTTCCTTTCCTTCCTGGTGAGCTGTTAGATGAACAAATTTATGAA